CCTAAAATGAAGGTAAAGTCACCTTTGGAAAAGAAAGTGGGCCGTCTTTTGTTTGGCTTCACCTCGTCTGTGCAATTCCAATTAACAAAAGTGAGTTAAAGTGTTGCGTTGCAGGGAAAGCATTAAAAAATAATCATCTCAATACTCCACTCGGTCTTCATAAATAGAGCGGAATGAGCTCTCAGTGCTCCCTATCTTCATTCATGACCTGTCCAGTCTTTTGTCCACAGAGTAAGAGGAAGGCGATTAACTTGTCGCAAAGCACAGCCTATTCGCACGCTCATTTAAGGAATTGGCCTGTCCACTTCCTGTCATTTACCCTCCTTGCCAGTAAACTCCCATTCCTGGATCGAGCACAATCGGCATATTTGATAAACATAGGGGAAAATGACTGACAAATAGGAGGTTCATTGGACATCGGAACCCTCAGTTCAAGCACTTTAACTTCATAAAACCCCAAACCCACCAACTGTGACGGATGTCATCAATCCTGTAAATATCTTATCTCGAAGCTCAGGCTTTGTCGAAGAGCTTTTGTTAGTTTCAATCGATTCGGACATAGGCACAAACAGTTGATGGCCTCATGCTTTGGGTTAAGTGTAATGAAATTATTTGTTTGGTTAAAAGTACCTCAAAATGAGAACTACATGGTCGGAGACATCACAACACCATCTCGTAGTCTTTCACGCACTATGGATTAGAAGTCGGTGATAATGTCGTATGACAAAAAATAAACTTCGGTGAAGCATGTACATTCACCTTCAAGCCACAATTGCAAAAGGGTCATTTATTGAAGTGCTTGCCCGTATTCGGTGCTGTTTTTAACAAATTAGATCTACAATGCACCCCACACACTGCGTTTCCTTGATTAATTCGACTTATTTCCTCACATTTGGAACCGTTGAAACTACACCGATGTTTTTATTTGCATTCCTATTTTCGCATCTTCTTATCTTTTTCAGTCGTTCCTATACGAACTTCTGTCCAGTTAGGAGCATACATTTTCATCACTTTATCCATCAGTTTCCCAAATACTTCTTCTATTGAGCACATGTTCATCGTTTTAACAACTGCAGTTACATTGCCTCAAGTAAATTCTCATTTAGCATTGATAACTAAAGTGGATGACATACACTACCGTGTCGTGGTGCACAATGCTATCGCGACAGTGAAGCCTCCTCCAAACATCGGTTGAATTGGCATGCCAGGTGTGCTTTGGCCACAAGACAGCGACCACAAGTACGTGTGTGGTGCGACAGAGGGAGGAAGAGAGAGGCAAGAGCTCTTAAGCACGAGAGCAGAGGCGAGGGTGTAGACACTAGCATGCCGAAACGCGTTTAGCTCGAGCTCATGTGCACGTGCTAGGGAAGTCATCTCTGCAGACCTGATAAATCCAGTCCGCACTGTGGGTCACCCTGCCTGATTTACGACACGTGTGCTCCCGTTTTCACGCACGCAGCACACACACACACGCACCAACTGAGGTACCCAGTGGAGTTCCGACTTTGGGGTCAGTTGGTCGCGTTGGGACATGCAGACGTTGTGAGGAGACGCATACTTGACATAGTCTCACCAGTGACTCATGTTGGCCTCCTTCATTTTGCACTTCGTTGAGTTGCCTCGCAGTGTTAAGAGCTATCAATTTCACTTCATCCACCGCTCCTATAAAGAGGGTTGGTGCCGCTAGAAAAAAAACTTTCACATTCTTGATTGGTGATTACTGCGATTGTTGATAGACTTCCTAGTGTGAACAAATTTGATTCAATGTTTAGGTCTACGGTGAAA